AACAATAACAATAATATAAATTATATGTGTATATATATATGTATATATATATATAATTTATATATACAAATATATATAAATAAAATAAAATAAAATAAATAATAATAATATAAAGAAAAGAAAAGAAAAGAGAAAAGAAAAGAAAAGAAAAGAAAAAAGAAAAGAAAAGAAAAGAAAAGAAAAGAAATGAAATTGTCTTGGAAACCGATCAATATTTATCTCTCCCTTAGTCGATAAGTCAATCAGGCCGTCATTAAACAAACACGGCTTCCCTCCTACAAGCTGTGTCCGTTGTTAAGTGGGACGACCGGCCGTAAATCCCTTTCGCCAGCGCAGTCGTAACTTCGAACGGGTCGCTAAACAGATAAGCTGCAAGACGAAAGATAGCTGTACAAGAGGGACTTCAAGAAAACGTCCCATTCGTTTTCTAAGCTTTTTTCCTTCACTGGCGCATTCTCTCCGTCAGGTATAGCGCGATCTTATTATTATCGATAATCAAATAATGGCACCCTTAGCTTTCCATAATGGGCATGTTTAGCATACACATATATATTTTTTTCTCTCCCCTTTTTCCTATGAAGCTAAATCGTTATGAACACATTCACGCTAGATTAAATACCGCGTCTGTTTTGACTGTGAGATGCAAACGGGGTTTAGATAGAAAGAAAAGAGGAATGGGGGGGAAACCCGGCAAGGAGGAAAGCTTGCAACTTTGGGGCGGGGAGAAGAAATATATATATATATATTTATTTATTAAAGTGAATTCTGACAGGCCTTAATTAAATGTTGCCTTCACACTACATTTCACTTTATTAAAATCCGAAGCGTGCCAAACGCAACAGCCTTTCGCTGCCAGTTCCACAGCCAACTTCCCTTCCTTTTTTAAAATAATAATAATATTAAAATAGTCCTTTATTTTTAGTCGATTAGCTGAAATTTGCTCAAATATCCCTCCTGCCACTTAAGAGGGGAAATGCTTTGAGAACGACAAACCGTCTGCTTGTTAGAATGTAAAAATAATTGCTCCGGTACAAAATATTGAAGATAAAAAATGAGAGGGGGGGGGGAAAAACCACAGCGTTCTGTTTATAGGCAGTTCTCAACTTAGTTGTTGTTGATAGTTGCGAAGTTGTGTCCGACCCATCGCGACCTCATGGACCCACGTTCCTCCAGGCCTTCCTGTCCTCTACCATCCTCCGGAGTCCATTGAAGCTCACGCCGATTGCTTCGGTGACTCCATCCAGCCACCTCCTTCTCTGCTCGCCGTCCCCTTCTTCTCCTTTTGCCCTCCATCGTTCCCAGCATTAGGCTCTTCTCCTTCCTTCTCATTAGGTGGCCATAGGATTTGAGTTTCATCTTCAGGATCTGCCCTTCTAAAGAGCAGTCAGGGTTGATCTCCTCTAGGACTGACCGGTTGGATGGCCTTGCAGTCCAAGGGATCTCGCAGGAGTCTTCTCCAGCACCAGAGTTCAAAGGCCTCCATTCTTTGGCGCTCAGCCTTCCTTATGGTCCAACTTTCACAGCCATCCGTTGCAACTGGGAAAACCATCGCCTTGACTATACGCTCTTTTGTTGGCAGGGTGATGTCTCAGCTTTTTAGTATGCTGTCTAGATTTGCCATGGCTTTCCTCCCCAGGAGCAAGCGTCTTTTAATTTCTTGGCTGCAATCTCCATCTGCGGCGATCTTGGAGCCCAGGAAAATAAAACCTGTCACTACCTCCATTTCTCAACTTAGACTGCTACCTAAATAACCCTTCAGAGCTTATCATTCCCATAAACTGTGTTTCTGCATTCACTTTGGGAACCTCCTCCAGATGTTTCTCCTGACTTGGATTCCAAAATTACTTTCCAGCAAACTTAAGGAGGAATCTTAGGATTCTTGCGGTCTTTTTCTAATTCTCAGTTGGCTGTTCCTTCAATATTCCAAAACCATCTTTAGATAGAAATATGTTGAATACAAGACGTTCGGAAAAAATACTTGGGAATTCCATCCCTGTTCTCTTGGTTTAACTTGACTTATTCTGAGTCAGTACCTCCAACTAGTGAGAAGGACCAAGGAGGACATGATAGCAGCCTTCCAATATCTCAGGGGCTGCCCCAAAGAAGAGGGAGTCAAGCTGTTCTCCAAAGCACCTGAAGGCAGGACAAGAAGCGATGGGTGGAAACTCATCAAGGAGAGAAGCAACTTAGAACTAAGGAGGAATTTCCTGACAGTGAGAACGATTAATCAGTTGTCTCCAGAAGTTGTGGTTGCTCCGACACTGGAGATTTTCAAGAAAAATTTGGACAAACATTTCTCCAGAATGGTCTACGGTCTCCTGCAGGGAGCTGGACTAGAAGACCTCCAAAGTCCCTTCCAACTCTATTGTGTCGTATTCTTGGCTCTGACCCTCCAACAGCAACGCTAGGTACATCCAGAAGTTTCAGCACATCTGGCTACCATTCCCCCACTCGGGTTTTCTGTAGATTTTCTGATTCCTCTTTAGAAGAAATTCTTGGGGCATCTCAACTGAGTTCCTGGAGGTGACCTGACAACAGTCCGTTCTTTGCAAGGTTGATTAAAGTTCCAGCTGAATCTTCAGAAGTTTTTGAAGCAAACAAATTCTCGGCCCCCGCCAGAAGTTCTTGTCAAAAATGAGATACACCAGACCTTCCAAGTCACAATCTAATGGGTGGAAGTCAACCATAACATGTTTAGACTTTGCGTAGAGTAGCGGGACCCAAGCCTTCGCAGGCGGGACCCGGACGGTGGTGTCACGTTACCCCCTCCGTTCAAGGACGTGGAGGGAAAGGCCTCTTTCGAGTTAACTTAGTTAACCCCTGGTCCTTAGGAAAATTCATCTGCATAATTTCATTTTGGCAAGGAAGTCATCGCGGGCTGGCCACGGATGGGGTGCCGAGACGACAGGAGTAGCTGTCCGTCTGCACATGTTTTCGAGCCTACGGGGATGGGGTGGGGAGTCGACTCCAAAAAGTAGGTGGAACCCTGGATCAATGAGTGGGCGGGGCCAGTTGTGGGATTTTTTCGTCTTGGTGGGCGTGGCAGGGGAAGGATACTGCAAAAATCCCCATTCCCTCCCCACTCCTGGGGGAAGGATACTGCAAAATCCCCATTCCCTTCCCCACTCTGGGGCCAGCCAGAGGTGGTATTTGCTGGTTCTCCGAACTACTCAAAATTTCTGCTACCGGTTCGCCAGAACCTGCTGAATAGCACTGCCAAGGGGAAATCTTCCTGGGTTTCATTTCAAGGGGGGGAGGTCAACTGAATTAAAATAAAATGAGGATCAAAGACTCGTTTCGGAGGTCTTGCTCAGACCAACCCGGTTCTTGTGAAAACTGGGCAGAATTTAGTTTCCCAAAATCCACGGAGGATCCCATAACAGTGTTCTGTGTGAGAACTGCCGTGTGCTGCAGTGGCGAAAACAGCCAACACGATCCATATAAAGAACGGTTGCAGGAACTGGGGATGTGTAGTCTGATGAAAAGAAGGACTAGAAAAGACATGATAGCAGCCTTCCGATATCTGAGGGGCTGCCCCCAAAGAAGAGGGAGTGAAGCTATTCTCCAAAGCACCTGAAGGCAGGACAAGAAGCAACAGGTGGAAACTCATCAAGGAGAGAAGCAACCTAGAACTAAGGAGAAAGAGTGACTTGTATTTTATTCTCTCATGCCATCACGACTTCACCCTACTTTTCAAATCACGACGCAAAAAAAACACAAAACCCTCACCTTTGTAAAACTTTAACGAGAAAGCTAATGGAAGTGGCTGGGCGAGGAAGGGGGGGAAAAACGCACACAAAAAAAACAAACCGACAACCTTCGGCGAATAAAACGGTAAGCTTTTTATTTCAATAAATAAATAAATAAATAAATACCCAAACCTACTAAGCCGTAGAGGAGAAAATCGTGTCGTTCTAAATAATAAATCGGGGGCCCCCCTCGAATGTGTTAAGAGCCGCGTCTGAATTTTATGTGAATATTTAACACGCGACTCAGTGATAAGAGGGGGCTCGCTCGAGGCACCGGCGGGATAAAGGAGACAAATTGTCGGATGTCGTGGCTTTTCTCTAAGGCAGAGAAGGCACCGAGTTGTGTAAAAGAGTTTTTGTGGACAAACCGAGCTGACAAGGCAGTTTTTTAAAAAAAAATGGAGGGGGGGGGAGTTCTAAGAAGGTTATAGGTAGTCCTCCACTTACGACCACAATGGAGGTCAAAATTTCCGTTCCCTAAGCGAGGCAGTTGTCAATTCACTTAGTGAGTTATGCACCGTTTTGGAACCTTCCTTCCTTCCTTCCTTCCTTCCTTCCTTCCTTCCTTCCTTCCTTCCTTCCTTCCTTCCTCCTCCTCCTTTCCATCCCTCTGTCTCTCCTTCCTTCCTTCCTTCCTTCCTTCTTTCCTTCCTTCCTTCCTTCTCCTCCTTTCCCTCCCTCTGTCTCTCCTTCCTTCCTTCCTTCCTTCCTTCCTTCCTTCTCCTTTCCCTCTCTCTGTCTCTCCTTCCTTCCTTCCTCCTCCTTTCCCTCCCTCTGTCTATCCTTCCTTCCTTCTTTGCTTCCTTCCTTCCTTTCTCCTCCTTTCCCTCCCTCTGTCTCTCCTTCCTTCCTTCTTTGCTTCCTTCCTTCCTTTCTCCCCCTTCTCCTTTCCCTCCCTCTGTCTCTCCTTCCTTCCTCCCTCCCTCCCTCCCTCCCTCCTCCTCTCCCTCCCTCCATCTCTCCTTCCTTCCTTCCTTCCTTCCTCCTCCTCCCTCCCTCCCTTCCTTCCTTCCTTCCAATTCGTTCTTTATATGTTTTTATCCTCCAGTCCCCTGATCCTCTTCGTGGCTCTTCTCTGCACTCTTTCCAGAATCTCAACATCTTTTGTTGTTGTTGTTGTTGTTGTTGTTTTTCATCATGGCGTCTGAAACGGGACTCCGTATTCGAAGGGCAGTCTCTCACCAAGGCTTTATAAAGCGGCCCCTCAACGAACAGTTGTCACGGGAGGTCTAACCTGTTATTTCTTTTCAGCTCAAAGAAGGCAGGGCGACCACCACCTCTGGTCCTTTCGGCTGTGGCCCCCACTGTGCCATTTCCCCCCAGAAGCCTTGGATGCTTGAACTTCAAACGCCTGCTTTTTCTTCTTCAATCGAGAGACAATCGGCTCAGCCCGGTTCGTCAACCCTGATTTAATTCACCGAGCCGCCTGAGCCTTCCCGACAGGTGGGTGAATAAACACGAAACGTGCTACAAGATTTATTTAATAAGTGTCTGTCGGGGAGCGAGGTGCCTCCGAGTGGGCCTATTATCTCGTAATGATGATAATCATCATCATAAAAAAAAAAAAAACACACACACAACACAACAAAACCAACAACCCCAAGATGGTTGAAAGGCTTGGCTGGTTGATAGCCACAATCTGTTATCTGGAAATTGAACTGTCAGCCCCCGTGTCATGCTCATTTGGGCTGATTAAAGAGATATTAATCTACTGTCATCGTTACAATATCTGTCATCGGATGGATGGCTGGCGGGAGGGAGGGAGGAAGGGAGGGAGGGAAGGACGTCGCGTATTGCGGCCGAGAGAGCTCACACAGGAGCTTGCCGGGAAAGAGGCGAGGACTGAATGTTAATCTAATTCTAGCCTGCTTTTGAAAACCAGGGGAAACGAGAGAGGGCACTTATACCAATCGTGGTAACCTGGAATATATCGTCCACATCGTGGGACACCCTGGCCCTAGGGAAAAAAAAGGGACAGAAATAACAGGTCCATCTGGCAGCTACCTAGATATAATTTAACGATAAAGGAAGAATCACAGAATCAGAAGGGATCTTGGAGGTCTTCTAGCCCAACCCTCCGCTCGAGCACTGAAAAAAAAAAGGGACAGAAATAACCGGTACATCTGGCAGCTACCTAGCTATAATTTAACGATAAAGGAAGAATCACAGAATCAGAAGGGACCTTGGAGGTCTTCTAGTCCAACCCCCCTGCTCGAGCAGGAGATCCTAGACAATTTCAATCAATCGATCAATCGATCAATCAATCAATCAGAATAGAGTTGGAAGGGACCTCGGAGGTCTTCTAGTCCAACCCCCTGCTCAAGGGGAAGACCTTATACTATTTCAGACAAATAGATGTCCAGTCTCCTCTTTGAAAACCTTCAGTGATGAAGTACCCACAACTTCTGGAGGCCAGTTGTTCCACCGGTTAATTGATCTGGGATTAAAACTACAGAACGACAGAAGTGGAAGGGGCCTTGGAGGTCTTCTAGTCCAACTAGGAAACCCCACACCATTTCAAACAACTGACTGTCCAATCTCTTCTTTAAAACCGCCAGTGATGGAGCTCCTACGACTTCTAGTGGCGAGCCGTTCCAGTAGTTCATTAATAAAAGATATAATTGCGGGATAGTTACGGGTTCTCCACCTCCCAGGACTGGTATACAGGCACTCCTCAGCTTACGACCAAAAACCGGGACCCGATTTTTCCATTGTGGTTGTTAAGCAAGCCAATTTCACGGCCTTCTTTCCCTCAGTTGCTTAAGCGCATCGCTTGTGATTGCAAAGTAAATCCAGCCTCCCACGTTGATGTTGGTTGGGGAGGGTGTAAATGACCACTAGTTAACCCCCCCCCCCGATGCGGCCGCCCCTTTCAACCCCCCGCCCCCCCCCCCCCCCAAATTGTGATCACGCGACTTGCTGCAACGGTCATATTTCCAAGGACCGATCGTGGACTTCAAATGGTCCCTGGGGCAGCAGTCGGTTTCACATATTCTTGCCACCAGTTCGCTTTGTGTGCGCACACTCACGCGAATGTGCCTTCCGCGTGTGCGCCCGGCCTTCTGCGCACACGTTTTGCCCGCCTGCGTGCCTTCCACACATGCTCCCAGCCTCCAAACCGTGGCTAAATAGGACAGCATTACATCCAGGTAGGTGGGCGGACTACCAATTCGCCGCTACCAATTCGCCCGAACCGGTGCGAACCGGCTGAATATCACCTCTGTCCCTGAGGGATTGTGGGAGTTGAAGTCCACACCTCTGAAAGGTGCCAAGGTGAAGAAACGGATCTAAAATAATTCAGCCGAGTCCTCCAAGATTACTTCTGAGTCCCCCAAATCCCCCAAATTCTCTACACCCCGATTGGGTGGAGAGGGGAAAAAAAGAAAAGAAAAGGGAGGAATAATTAAATTGGGGGGCTCAGGAGGAGAAAAATAGGAGATGTCGAGAAATATATTTGAGTCATGCCAAAAAGACCGGGGAAAGTTTTCTATGGAATCCCTTCTCTCATTGGCTCGTGGCTTAAGACACTGAGCTTGTCGATCAGACAGGTCGGCAGTTCGGCGGTTCGAATCCCTAGTACAGGTCTCCTGCGTGAGCAGGGGGCTGGACTAGATGTCCTCCAAGATCCCTTCCGACTCTGTTACTGTTTTCTCCTCTCTTTCTAAAAACCTCTTTGCCTTTCTCTTTTCAACGGAGACCAAAAACCAATCGTTTTTCAGATGTTTTTGGACCCAAAGTTTTTCTCACCCCGTTTTTTTTTCCTTCCCCCCCCTCCCCCCCTCCCCCAAATCCTCCCCTTCCCCCTTCCCCCGTGCCATTAGCCCCACCGAAATGTCGCTTCTGCATACGGCTCATGAAATATGCAGAGGGATCCCTTTTGTGGAATTAACTATTTATCGATTTATAATTTAAAAGATTTATGCCGGTCCATAAAGGAAGGAAGATTATTGTTATTATTATTTTTTTCCAGGAGAGGTGTGGGGGGGTGTGTGGATGGGGAGGGGGTCCAAGCAGCTCTGAAAGAGGGCAGCTGCCGTTTGCAAAGTTTGGAAACGTTTCTTGAGGTGAAGCCGGGAGAAAATTATTCCAGGCTGTTCGCTTCGATTAATTCACGCATGGAAGGATGATGGTTTTCTTCCTTAGCCTCGATTCCTCCTTTCTCCATCTTCAGCTTTTTTTACCCCGGGCTGTGACTTCTGCAAAAGTGCTTGGCTTGCGATTTTGCACCGAGTGCAAAATTTATTGGAGTGGGTGGCATTCTTAGAAGTGTGAGTGTCTTTTGAGCGAAGCTTGCAACGGTGAGTGTGAACCACGGATGGGAGCATTGCTGAGTTAGCAAACTTCCTAGCAGGCGTAAAAAAAAAAGGTTTGGAGGAAACTGTTTGCAGGTCACGCTTCCCGCCGTGGCCTTCCAGGGTTGCCAAAAAAACCTGCCTAGGTGATACACAGGAGATGCTTTCAAGTGAAACGGAGGTCTTACCTGTGTCTCATTTTGCATCAGCTGGAGAAATACATAAGTTTGATTTCTCTTTTAGTGATTCGTTTATTTTCGTTTGTAGGGCCACGCAGTTAACTCGGGGCTCAAACTGGCTTGTGAGTACTCCGAATGTGTGCATTTTTATCCTTTGGGTTTTCTCAAGATATATTCTTTCTTTCTTTCTTTCTTTCTTTCTTTCTTTCTTTCTTTCTTTCTTTCTTTCTTTCTCTTTATTTCTTTCTTTCTTTCTTTCTTTCTCTCTCTCTCTCTCTCTCTCTCTCTCTCTCTCTCTCTTTCTCTCTTTCTCTCTACTCTCTCTCTCTCTTTTTCTTTTTTCTTTCTTTTTCTTTCCGTCCATACCGTGTTTCCCCGAAAATAAGACCCCGTCTTATATTTTTTTGAATCCTGAAATAAGCACTTGCCCTTATGGCCATGCGCTCAAAAGCCCGATTGGGCTTATTATCAGGGGAGGTCTTATTTTGGGGGAAACAGGGTATCTATCCACCCCATACTAGGGGTGGGTTTCACTCACATTTACCACCAGTAAATGTGCGCAGAGCAGTTAGGAGAGGAGAACAACGGAGGACAAGGAGTTGACTCAGGAAGCAAAGCAAAAGTGGACGCTGAATGGCCCTTCCCTGGCTGGGGAATAAATAGAAGGAAAGGGGGAGTGGTGGTCGTAGGAGAAAACCGTTCGTATTTCTGGAGATTTTGCTCAGGGTGTTTCGTGCCACAGAGACTGCTTTTGCCAGAATTCAATTTGCAGCTCACGGCCTGGCAATTATGGCAAGGAACTGATAAGGTCTGTTACTGCGGTTAACTCCTTGAAGGACTCTTGCCTGGACTTTTCGGTGGGTGAATGCCATTAATTCACAAGAGGCAAATAAATAAACAGGGTTTTTTTTTTCATGACCAGGAGTCCGTTTCTTGCTTCTGCAGGAACAGCAGAACAGCAGAAAAGTTGGGCAAATATGTCCGTACTTAATTTAGTTTGAACTATCTCTCGTGCTCTCTTCGCTAACTCTTCTCCAACAAGTCCTTCTCCGCTCATTCAAGCCGGAGATTTTATTGCAGGTAATTTCTGATTGGGGGAACCTACCTGGTTTCTAGGTATGTGTGTGTATGTGTGTGTATATTTCAAAGACCCCCTGCTTAGCTGTCACTCAACACTCCAGAGCATAATTACCTCGGTCCAATCAGACACAAATCCAGAAGCGTCTTAATGGATTATACTTGAGAAAGCAACGATCCAGCTATTCCTTCTCCGATTTATAAATAACAGCGGTTCGAGGTTGGAAAGAGGTACCTGCTATAAATAATGATTATTTGAAGACTCCTGTGCCTCGTTTCCCTGCGTAGCAGAAGGATTAGCCTTGCGAAGATAATTATCGGCGTATCGGAAGCTAATGGGAAAGAATATTATTTAATTTTTTTTTTAAAATAAAAAAAAAAGCCACAGTGTAATAAAAAAGCAAAGGGAACGGAAGGGAGGGAAAAGCAGTTTTTCCTGGTATGATATTAGCTCAGGGGAACGCTTGCCTTTTAATAAAAGCGTTATATATAAATATTGTGCCTTTGCTAGCGCAACAAAAGTTGATCCGGAGAAAACAACCGGCAACAAAAGCTCGGATATCCAGGACTCCTTCAGCGCCATCTTACCTGAGTGCCGGGGGGAGAAAAAAATATATATTCTACTTGCTGTCATTCTATTATGTTGACAAAACATAAAATAAATTGCATTCCCAAACAATTAATCTTTGCAGAAATCTTCCATTTATTGAGTACGACAATCTGGCCCCGACTTCGTCGTAGCCGATACTAACCCTCTGACCCCCAAACCCTTCCCTTTCCGTTCCCCAATTCTCAGCGTCTCATTGGCCATCTTCCAAGTCAGTCTCCCCAGCTCCTGACTTCAACCCACAGGAATATCCCCCCTCCCATCCCATCTCCTAGGGGATATTATCTACAGAGAAAATAAGTA